CGGCTATCTCGCTTCCCTCCTCCTCCTCTCTCTCTCTCTCTCTCTCTCTCTCTCTCTCTCTCTCTCTCTCTCCCGCTATCCCACTCCAGCTATCCCACTTCTTGCTCTCTCTTCGAGGGGGCAAAGCGCAAAGATGACCTGGGCCACTAGAGGTAAGCTCTACCCACATCTTTTAGGGGCACTTTACCATATATCTCAACCATATTTGCAACCGCACGAGCCGCAAATTCGTGCGGAGTTCCGTGCAGGGGGTGTCTGTGCAGAATCGCGCAGGGAGGGGGGATGGAGGGGGTGTCTGACAAGAAGCTAGGATATGGGGAATTGAGGGGGATATGGAGAGGAGGAGGAGGATGTGGCCGATGAGGATGATGAGGATAATGAGGACGACGACGTGGAGGAGGAGCAGAGATGGGGAAGGAGAAGAGTTGGACGGAGGGAAAAGAGGAAGGGTAGGAGGAGGACGAGTGGGAGGAGGAGGAGACATGGATACCGAGGAAGGGGAGGACATGAGGAATGTAAGGAGATAAGGAGGCATGGAAGATAACGAAGTACGAGGAGGAGGAGGAGACAAGGATGATGAGGGAGGGCAGGAGGAGGAGACATGGAGGGCAGGAGGAGGATGAAAAGGAGGAAACGAAAAGGAGAAGGGAGGAGGAGACATGGAGGACGAGGAAGTGGAGGAGGAGCGAGGTGAGGCAGCACTCCTGCAAAAAAAAATGTTCATCCCACTTATAATTTTGGCAGGGGGCCTCGAACGCACCGTCTTGACCCCCGGCCTTCTTTTTTTTTCCGGAGGGGGGTGATGGGTTGTTCCCCGCACAAGTCGTGCGCCGCACAGGATCGGTCGGGCGCTTCCGCCGCACGTCGAGAACTGCCGCACGAGGTGCGCATGCAAGTATGATCTCGATAGAATGGAGCCATCCGCAAACAGCGGCCATAGAGGGGGTGTCTGCTCTTACCAGCACCTCCCCTACGTCCGATCGCGATGTTTCAAAAAAAAAAAAAAAAAAAAAAAAAAAGATATATATCTCCTGCCGCACCCCCACTCCATTTCTATCTTACCTCATGCGAGGATCCATTCCAGAAGTCAAGAGTGGAATTGTACCTACCTGGTGGCGTGATAGCGGAACTGGGGTGAGAAGAATCATCCTGATGGTCATCTGCGGCCCGTTAGCGCCCGTCGCTGCCAGTCCGGCAAGGCCCAGGCTGCCGGCTCGACTAGTGCCTGGGGGAGTTTCTTCGGGCGTTGGGCCTGCACGCGTGCCCGACAGACGCGCGTGGTGTTCTGCCACGTGACGCTCGCTATTGGTGACGCATGTGTCCCGCGACACGCAGACAGGGGTAGCGCCAGCAGTGGAATCATTGATATGGTGACGTTTAGTGGCAGCAGCTTTGATACTATCAGCGATGACTGGGAGGGCATGGAGACTTCGCCTCAAGGGGGGCTGTGGGGAACCCCTCTTCACCTGCAGGTTGGGGAGGAAGTGTCCGCGCTGACTATTGCGATGACTTACAAACAGCAGTTGGAGGAGATGCACGCGGCGCTGAGCCAAGCGAATGGAGACCTACCATACGATGTTCTGCTAGAGGGAGAGGAGACCTGTGATGGGTGGGATGACGAACTTTACGATCTCATCTCTTTGCGACAGCAGGATGCGATCGACAAAGCGTGCGTGATTGCCGTTTCTACGACTGCCTTGAGACGCTGCAGCAGGTCCAAGATATGTTCGCAGGCCTTCTAGCGCGGAGACACGTGGGTGGCTTGCCAGATATTGAGACACGGGCAGCAGCGACAGAACCAATATTATCGAAAACATCATTAACATCACCAATTCCTTCGACAACGGCGTTAGCGACACTGGCAGCGACCTCAACTACATCGGCAGTATCTGCAGCAATGTCCACTCCGACAACAATACCATCATTGGCAGCAACAACAGGGGCAATGGTGGCTCCACTGACAGAGGCCGCAACGGCTGAGCTGCCAATTACGACATCTATATCAATAACTTTGTCATCCGTGGAGGTGGGGCCATCAAACAATCTTGGTAGGGTCTGGCAACGGGAGTTGTTTGCGCAGGGCCATGCTGTATGGGGGTTGGAAGAGGAGCCGCCCCCTTACATGGAGCTCACGGATCTGTCACGATCGAAGGCGCTGAAGTCGTGTGGCAGCGAGATCCTTGATCTGCCACGATCGAATGCACCGAAGTCGTGTGCCTGCAAGACCCTTGAGGAGGGGCAAGGGTTTGGCGGCAAGCTCGAGGTGCATTTTTATAAAAATGATGACGACTATTTCGCGGACGGCTTCTGGGCCAACAACACTGCTGAGACTGTTCTCAGCCGAAGCCGGGTAATGGCCCCGGTATCTCAAATGTTCTCAAAACCAGGCACAATGGAGGCGCTTGACACACGCGCGGTAGCTTGAGGCGCTGGAGGTGGCTACGTCACAGGTTGACGAGGCACGAACATCCAACACATAGCTTTCAGTGATGTGTTTCGCGCAAGGATTCCATAGCTATCACCTTATACATGGTGGTCTACTAGCTCCCGTGGTTATGGTTGACGGTGTATTGTATCTGCCATAGCCAGTGGATTCCAGCGAAGAAAGCCCAGAGTACTACCGAAGTGTGGGAAAACGATCTTTTACTATGAAAGTCTAATCAAGAAGATGATGTTTTGTTGAGCAGTGCGGTGATGAGGGGTCCTTCTGTGGCCTTGGTTGAGAGTATATTACGTAGCCAGTGGATTTCAGCGAAAAGAGCCCAGAGTGGCACCGAAGGGTGGGAAAGCGATCACTTATTCTGGAGGAAGAGAGATCTAATCAAGGAGAGGACGTTCTGTTGAGCAGTGCGGTGACGAGAAACCAAGACGTCCGGCGGTCAACGAATCAATCCAAAGTGCGACTTGCAAGTCAAAGTGTGAGTCGAATTTTGATCTATGATACAAATAGGGTTACAAATGATAATAGGATAGAAAACTTCAACAAATCTGACAATGTTCAATAGGGGGGGACTCTGTATAAAACCGGTAGGGTAGTCATAGAATCAGATACCAAAAGAAGGAGGGTAACTGATGATCTGTGCCCTAACAAAGGAATAAGGAGAGCACTGCAGCAGTGAAGGACAAATCTGGCTAAGAAAGGAGACTGGAAGGGGATTCAGTGTAAAGGAGGTTGGAGTCTCATATAGTCAGATATTGAGGTTTGTAAGTCGACCTAAAGAGGGAGGGTGGAAGTGGTCAAGCATTGATGACAAATTTGCAGCACAAAGGAGATATTGATATTCAGAAGATCTCCGCTCCAAAAGGAACAGGGACAACACGTCAGCAGAGAATGACAGAGGGAAGTATTTATATACGCTCTTCCTCTTGAAGATGCCTCCAACTATGATGTTCCGCCCCTCCCCTATTTATAAAGGGAAGTCAAGCCTCAAGCCACAAACGAATTGAAAACTACAATAAAAGAACAAAATACCAATCAACCTTATTATCTGAATTCACCCCAATCAATCAATAAATCACAAGTAACACTAATTCCCCCCTTCTGAGTCAAATTCATAGTCTGAATAAAGCACCCCCTTTCTACTTTTTCGTTTTCCACTTGAAGGGCTATTCTTCGACCCCTTCGTACTCCATTCTCCGAATCATTTTTTGGTCGCCCCCTTCTGGGCTGATTCATGCTCTTTCTTCCGTTCCCTAATCAATTTCTTTCACCTCATCTCTACACCTGATCCCTAGTTTCCTATTTCGTACTTCCACTCTTTATTTCTTTGTTTTTGTTTGCACCCTTCTATTCCATTTCTCAACTCTGATTTTATTATTGTTGATTTCAGGAAAATAAAATGATGGGAATCAACTCAATCCCCTCGAAGAGAGTGAGAGGAGGAAACTCCCTACTCTTTTATCAAGGGGCAATGAGACAGAATGTGATGAGGCAGCTCAGCCCCTCTCCATATAGCAGACCAGGAGTAGAACAAGTAACATTTAGTGGTTGGAATCGAGACAGGAATATGAAGGACAATAAGTTACAGGAAACATCACTTATGGTGATTGATCCCAAAGTATGGCCAACAACTCAGATCCACTCAGAAGAATCACACTCGCAGGAGGAAGCGGCCCCAAGGGTGGAGAGAATACTCCACTCAGAGAATCGACAAAGGGAGCAGAGGGAGCAAAGGATCCCACAAGTATTCTTATCAATGAAAACGCCAGGGACAGAAGAGGAATAGAAATCCAACACCTCACAAAAAGAAGATAAAGAAATTCAGAGAGAGGAAGAGATGCTAACAGAGGAGGAGAGACTGGAACATACCTATTTTTCTAACAAAGGCAACTAGACTCAACCCAGAGGAGAAAGCACTCAAACCTCTCAGTCTTCGCAGTCTTCGGAGTCTTCGGAGTCTTCGCAGTCTTCTCAGTCTTCTCAAGCGGCCCCGATATGGGCTCAAAGGGTAAGAAAGAAAATGCAAGACAAAACTCTGAATGTTTCGAGGCCACCGGTTGGACCTCCGGGTACGCCAGCGGAAGAGCTCAAAATTCCTCTTCGAAATCTATTGCCGGCTAAAGCATTTTTCCTCTCCCTCTTCCTTCTCCCATCAGAACAAAAGGTTATAAATCAGGGAGGAAGGAAAATGCGAATGAAATCTTACCCAGTTGACAAATTGGCCAGGAGGGATGAGATCTACGTCAGGCATGCTAATAATTGGATTTTCTATGATAAAGCAGTCTACCGATCCACGAATGACAAAATAAAGTGGATTTGCAAAAGATTATAGGAGTTAAAAGGCAGTGAGGAAGCGGTCTCAGAGTTCTTCCTCATACAGCCGATCACTCCTACAGTCTTCACCATCCTTTGCCTATTTGAGAAAGATAAAGCCCAGATAGATGGTTGGAAAAAGTTATATTGGGAAAACTCGCAAGACAACTCACAAGTAAGGATCTACCCCTGGCAACCTAAGAAAATTAGTCCAGAAGAAAGGAGGGATCAACTAATGAGAGATCATTACTGGGTTGAACTGCGTCACATTCCCATTGAGGTGCAGGCTGCTTTTGTTCATGATTTTGGTCAACTTTTCAAAATTGTTGATTTTATTGACCCCCTCCCATCCTACGTGGCGAAAAGGGATGATTATCTAATGTTGGCAATTGGTCTTCAGAAGGATCAGCCATTCTCTTTAGATGATATCATCCCGTATAAGATGGGAGGGAAGATCTTTCATATTCACACGGCGCACAAATTTCGTCCTTGGTGTTTCAAATGCAAAGCATATGGACACTTAAGTACGAAATTTGCGTGTCCCATGCATCCGCAGCATCCAGTATCACAAGAACCAAAACTGAAAAAAGATCCTCAGAGATCTCACCGATGGATACCAATGAGCCCAGGATATGACGGTTGGGTCTATAATGATGAACTCAACCAATTGGGTATTCCCAGTGGTTGGTACTGGGAGGGTAGGGGTAATCCTCGTAAGACCTCCAGACCGCCAGCAGAGTGGGTCCCATCACCCCTCCCCTTCCAAAATTCCACAAATCAACATGCACAGTATGTAGGACAACATAGTAAGAATCAACCTCAAATGATCCAATCGAAGACGAGCCACATGAGTCAGAAGAGCCCTGTTGAAGATTCACAGAAACAGAATGAAAAAACTGAACAACAGGGACAAAAACAGGGTCAGCAAGGTTATCAAGGGGGAAGAGGTAAAGTGTGAGGACCAGCACCCGAGCAATACCTGCAAAGGAATCAACACAAAGAAGGGATGGAATGGAAAGTGGTCAGGGCAAAGAATAATAGAGGTAACGCAGGAGATCAGAATCAGCAGCAGCCACGACACGACCAACTTCAACAGCATCCTCAGCATCCCCAGCAGCAACAGCAGAAACAACTTTCACACCAACAGCAGCAAATGTAGCAGCAACAACTCTCACTCCACCAGCAGCAAACGCAGCAATCCCTGCCTAACCAGATAAAACAGCAGAAGACTTCAACGCAGCCCCTCACACTCAGACCAAATTCTGAACCCACAACGGAGCCACTTATCCCACTTGTCCCACTACGGGACTCATCTCAGCTGCAGATAGAAGTCAGAGAACTACTGAACCAGAATAGACAAGAGGTGATTCAATTGGAGGAGGAAGTGGCCATCCAGGTGCAGGACATGGATGAGGACCCATTACAAAATGCTTTCACAGCAGAGCATATGGAGGTAGAACAAGCACCTGTCTCAGCGATTCCGCTCGTTGATATGGGTGATGGAGGAAAATTTCAAGCCCCAGATGCCAATCTACAGTAGCGAATTCATTACGTAGCTGAATGGGTAATAAGTAACCTCAAGTTTAGACATTCTGGGGTAAATGAGGAATTTTCGGTTTTAGCTATGGATCATATTCTGAGTATTCTAGCCCAGAGCGATAATCTGAAGGTTACTCTACAGGATGGTCTGTAAACGCAGATTCCTTCAATCCCACTCACGCCAGTGATATATAAGACACAGGGTCACACAAGTGGAAAAAAAAGACTCAAAGAATTGGCAAGAAGAAAACAGCATAGTCCACAGATCCGTGTATCACAGTCTCTGGCTACTTACTCAGGAAATAATAAAAAAAAAAGAAAATTCTCAAGAAAAAGGCTCAAGAATCTGGTGCTTACACCCAGACACTCAATGAAAGGAAAGTTCAGGAAACGTAAGATACACGGATCAGAGGATATTGACAGAAGGAAATCAAAGCATAGTCGATTAAAAAACAAATCGTTTTTAAATAAAATACCACGTTTTTCACTGGACATGGAGAGTGGAGGACATACCACTACAGACCACTTGCAGGAGAAGGATAACATGATACACACCACAACAATGTCTGAGTCAGAGAACCAGGTACAACCCTCCTCCCAGGACTCTTGTGATGATGTGGACAAAGGACATTTGGAACTTACCTCAGAAAGCAATGGAATTAGTGAACAGTCTTCGGAGCTCATGATCCTAGAGAATCGGTCCTCAAAGATTGCTGAGCCTGGAAGTTTCATTTTTTCGAAAAAAGAAATAACAACGGTAATCACTTTAAGCCTGACTGGGGAAACCAAATTTCTTGTAATTTCATAAATACCACAGGAGAAAAGAAAGTCATCACTGTTAGAGGAGGAAAATGAAGAACCAAAGCATAGAGGCCAGGGAGGGAACTGAAAAATCAGCTGAACAGGGGGAAAGGAAAAAATATCAAAACCCAGGAAACTTTCACAGGCATAATGAAATTGATCTTACCTATAGTGCTGCAGATGAGGTACCTGAGCAAATTGTTACTTCATCACTACCTTCGACTTCCCCTTCACCTTCCCTTGTTGACCTTATGAATCGAAGACAAAAGTTCAAATCTAGATTGAACTTGGAAATTCATCCTCTTTCTAAATTTAGTAGTGCGATTTTCCCAGTTCGATGCAAGGAAGGAAGGTGGGAAGTGGGTCTCATAGAGATGGTAGACTCTCAATATGGAGGCTTGACTATACATGGAATGGAGGCCCCCGGTCTTTCCCTTTCTTATCTATCAGAAGGATTGGCCGGAGAAACATTTTTCAAATTAGAATTCAAAAAGTTTATAGAAGGAAACCTCCCCCCAGGAGGTTGGACCACTCTTATGACAACCACGGACCCCCAGAGAATTGCACATAGGGATATCTTCCTAAGATATAGAACAGGGGATACTGTCAATCTCAAGTGGCTAGGGGATGAATCACTCAGGGATCTTAGAATTCAGAAAATAAAAGCCAGCCAGTTCTGGCCTGCAGATGATGTGGCAGCCCTTCTATTAAACCTTCTCAAGAAGCATTTCCTACAGAAAGGAGGAGCTCTTGACAAAGGTATATGGGAGCCTCTACTCTGAATAGACAGTGTCGGACATGAGCAGCGAAACAGATATTGTATCCTATGGTTGAAGTAAATTTAATAGATACACTTTTTAACAAGGATAAGAACTGGAAGCTGTTGGCCTAGCATCGGCCAAACAGAGTAAAAGACAAGCAATATATGAAATGATGAAAGGGGTGGATGGCAGGTCATGGCCAGATGTCATATGCGTTCAGGAGACTCATTTGATGAACATTGATCATCATAATTACATACAGAAAGAGATCAGGCCCCACACGACTTATAGAGCACATGCACCTAAGATTGGTAGTGCGGGGGTGACCATATAGCTCCCCCCTGATACTAAAATAAAAGTTCTTAGTTGGGAGGCTGATCAACAGGAAGGCAGATGGGTATACATTCTGGCCATGATAGGGTCAGAAGTAATCAGCATCTTATGTGTATATGGTCCTAACGAAGTCCGTGAGAGGCAGTTTTTTTTTGAGGGAATACTCCCCCACCTGCCCACAGGTATCCCCATCATTATAGCAGGAGACTTTAATGCAGCACCAGATCGCACCCTGGATAGATGGCACATTCCCTCCCCCTGCCCCCCTTATATTATAGACGATGAGATCATTATCTCAAATCTCTGTCTTTCAGCCAATCTTTTTGACTCATTCAGAAGACCAAATCCCCAAGCTAAATCCTACACTTGTTTTAGAAAAAAACCAAGTCAGACAAAGTACAAGATCAATAATTGACCTCATATTGGTTTCATATGAAATTCAAGGAGCATTGCAATTAGCTTTCATTCTCCCTCATAGCCCTTTCCCTGGGTTAGACCACTCGATGTGTGTGGCGGTTTTTTCTTTTAAGAAAAAACCGAATCAAGGGAGAGGTTACTATAGGCTTAATACATATCATTTGAAGAAGGACAGTTTTAAACAATTCCTCAAAGATGTGTGGGATTTCTGGAAAAAACAGAAACCCCTCCTCCAAAATCAGATACAGTGGTTCAACAACGGTCTAGCTTTCCTAGGCCGTAAATGCAATGAATATTCTAAGACCTTGGCTAAACAAAGACACATGGAAGAAGCAAACCTTCACAAAAGGATTTATGATCTTCAGAAAATTGAAAATGAGACGGTGGAACATGAGCAACTGTCTGCCCTGACAAATGAAGTTCAAGACACAGAAAACCAGCTCCTGAAACATATGGAATATCGTTGGCAAGGGATTATAATAAGGGGGAAAATAAAGAAACATCAAATGAAAGGAAGTATGAACGCTAGATTTTTTGCAATGGCCAAAGCTAAATCAGGAAGAACCACAATAGAAGCACTGACTAACCCCCTGAATTCTGAGGAACCCCCAGCGACCTCAACAGCAGCTTGCACTAAGCGAGCTAAAGATTTCTTTAAGAATTTTTTCACACCTCAAAATAGTGATATCCCCAAAAAACAACACAAAGAAGAGATGGATGAGTTCCTATTGCCAA